GTAATGCATCCCATTCAACTTTTGAACCAACATGGCGACACAGGTTGAACATGTGACCCGATTCAGTCTCATTTGATCTGGTTTGGATAAATCACACACTGGAAACAGTTAAAATCTTGTGGTAAATGGGTATTTTTGTTGGCAACGATAACGTTTAACTACAAATACTCATCTAAAGTTAGGAGAAAATGTGTATCAGTTAAGGCATGAGGCAGTTTTATGGCCTTGGAGGAAGTAAGTACAATGATTTTATAGCCAAGGCTTGTCTGAATGGTTGCCATGGTCTTTTCCTGGCTGGGTAACATTTTTCCCTAATCTCTTTTGCTTCTACAATGCTATAAATAGTAAAAATAGAGATAGTGGCCCACACTCATTCTTAACTTAAACATAATCATTCATGTGGTTATGAGATAAATAGGGACCAAGAGGGATAAAAGAGGCCTGAAACACATGACAGCATAAAGGTGGTGTGATTGCTGGAGAGTCTATCTCAGAAAATGAGCCAAAATGTTGCTGTATGACTCAATTAGACCATATGAAAATAACTCATACACACGGGAGTGACAGTGGAGGTAACAGTTGCACAACACAAGGAAAACTAACCATGGCAATCTGCAGAGTAAAAAACAAAGGAGTATAGCACAACTACAGATCAGCTCAAATATTAAAATCAGGTCAAGTTTCATTTTCCTAGCCACGAACATGAACGGCCTTAAGAGGCATGCTGCATACAAATGTTTCAAATATAAGTAACTGATTTGCCAGACTTATAGTACATTTTCCACTCTGCCATGGTCCCATCACAGGCTGAAATCTCAGCAGGGCTGATCTCACAAAGAAGCCATTCAAAGTGACTTGTGCACGTTAACACCACACACATACACGCACAGGCACAGGCACAGCTTTCAGGCAGTCTAAACTTTTACCGAACTTGAACTCCCACAAAACCCTGCAGTGACCGCATAAAAAGTAGTTCTCAGGTTACAAACTCACCCAAAATAGGCCTTAAGTACATAGTAGTGATATCTAGTGACGTAGATTATAGTTTAGAATGGTTACACACACTGAACGGCTGTAATGAATTCAGTGTCATGCTTTAGGGAAAGGCGAGAACATTGAAAAGTATAACTTATAAATAACAGCTCTACTCATTTTGTTTCATTGTAATACTATGTTTTTTCATATATGACCAGTAATATTGTATTTCTCATCAGACCCTGCAGTTTAAAAGTCATACTTGTAAAATCTGTCAACAGTTTCTAAAAAAAAAAAAACCCACACCAGATGAGATAGTTAGTCATGAAAATAGCTATTCTTTACAATTCAGGGAAACCTTTTAAAAGCAGCGAGTCACTGAAAAGTCACTGAAAGTGATAATCTCCCCATGAGGACTCATAACTGTACCCAATTCCAATATGTACACATTAAAAAGAATCACATAAGAACCCTTTAAACCCCCTAATTTTGCAGTGAGAATCATCATTATTTCAAACCAGAACTTCTCAAAATATGGGGTCGAGCCCCAAAATGATCCACAAGCCTGTTTCTAGTGGGTTCCCGCATGAAATAAGTAATAATATGCTTTCAAAGTCAAGAAAAAAAACACTACTGTCTTTCCTGGAAATGACAGGAAAAAAAAAAGAAAAGCTTTAAGGGACGTCCTTAAAGCGCAGTAATTTTCAGAAAAAGTAATCTGTGTACAGGAAACAGACGCAAAGACTTCTGGCGCTAGTGGGCTGAGCAATCAAAACAATCTCTCCGTGTTCTGATTGAAGAGAAAGGGACCGATGCCAGACTCTTCAACACGCTTCATCGGGGAGAGGGGGTGGACAGAAGGGGGTGGGAACAAATGCAAGAGATGGAGAGAAGTGATAGGGATGAGGTGGAGACTGATAGAAGAAGAGGTGAGAAAGAGGGTAGAAGTTGGGGAGAGAGAGAAAAGAGGAGGAAGGCATTTTCTTCTTCACTTGTTGCTTCTCTCATTTCACCTTAAATTGTTTTCTTTGCGTCTCCAGTCCTCTTTTGACGTCCATTCTTTCTTCATCCTTGTCTTTTCTACGATCTCCACTGTCTCTTATCTCTTATGTTTCTCAGCATTTGAATCTGGCTCTCATGCTTTTCTTTCACCCCCTCCTCCTCATCGATGTGTTATTAGGGAGAAAGTACATGGGATTTTCCCACAGTTCAACAGGACCAATCCCAACCCCCACCACCCACACGCACTCGTTTTCTGTCTTTCCCTCGATTCCCTCTGTCTCATGTCAGAGGGGGAAAGTCTTGAAGAAAACCACCCATATTCCACCACAAAGTATTCTGGGTGTTTGCTGGAACTTTATGCCGCTCGTTGTTCCGTCAACATTGACTGTGTGCTTCTATGGCAACACAATAATTAGAGGAAGGTTATGGGACGAAAATATCTCTGCTTCAGGATTAAAACGGCATCTTTGCTTAATGATTTAGGTCCTGTTTGGTTTTGCTTTTAGAGAAATCCCAATGATGAAATTAAAATTTCCACAAGAGGATAAAACCATTCTGAAACTGTGTGAAAAAACATATTGGTACGAATTTCCCAGGGTTGTAAAACTTCCAGGACCAATCTAAGAGCTATGTAGCCATTAATCTCTGCCCCACTGTTTAGGTTTCAGTCATGGTTGGAGAAGGCAAAGCAAGAAGCTCAGAAATCTGTTTGGTCAGCCATGAAGCCGATATGAAACGAGCTGCCCAAACCATTTCAACTACAGTCTAGAGAGCCTGAAAAAAAGAACCAACTGGACTTCTTTAAGTTTGTGAAGACGTTTCACCTCTCATCCAAGAGGCTTCTTTAGTTCTAAAAGCCAACGATAAAGAGTCACAGGTATTTGACCCCAAGTGGCAGCTGTCCCCTTAGACCTGGTCCAATTTTTGTCTAAGACACAAATTCTCAAACACAAGATGAAAAAAAATGTATGCTGTGTATACTCTGCAGTGAGGAGTGGTCGGACCTCTGCATAGGTAAAACTGAACAGCCATTTCACAAATGCACAGTACAACATATAAGAACCACCTCAACAACAGACTTAGCTGTACGTGTGCACCCAAGGGACAAACTACAGATGGTTTAAGAGTGGAGTAAAGGAGGCCATCTTTGTCCACTGTGAGTAACCGTCACTGAAGAAAAGTGATGGCTTACAACATGAGCTGTCAGCCACTTCCAGTGCAGTCTTGATTTCTCTTCCCAGGCAACCCCACTCGCACCTCGTCTCTGGTGACCTCAGTAAGTCACATGATAGGTTGAGGCAAGATCTCACAGGGGTTTCACCTTTAACCACCAGTGATGGTAATGACCCATGACTTCTTTCACCCCATGGCTCATGTCAGTCATCACATGACCCAAAGTCAATGAGCCTCAGGAATACATTCAAGGGGACAACCCCCATTAAGGGTTAAGTACCTGAGACCCCACCAATTTGTTTTTAAAACTAAAGAAGTCTCTTCAATGGGAGCTGAAACATCTTCACAAATCTAACTAATGCTGTTACCTCAGTCCAGCAGTAACTAGTTTCCACAGGTGAAGGCTAGCGGCTGATTTAATGAATGGCCTCTTTACTATTAATGTCCAACACCATTGCAACAATCTAATCCAACAATCTGACCAATTAGTATATTTTGGGCTAGGGTTGTGCTAATGGTGATGTCAGGAATTGACAAGTGAAAGTCTGCCCATTTTTAGGTTATTTTCCATATCAAGTTAATCTTATTATTATGACATTAACATTAAACTGAATTTGTCTCAGTGTTGTTTTCATGTTGAATCTCCACATATAAAAGACGCTTATAACACAGATGTGTCTGGACGTGTACAGGCAGGCAAACAAGTTCATGCCGAGACTTCTGTCTTTTAAAATTAATGTGGAGCAGCGACACTGATCCAGCATAATGAAATGAGAAAAACAGGGGGATATTTCTAACTGGTGGACTGATTTTTTGTGACTCTGCATTTACAGAGAAGCTCATTTATCAATCGCCTTAACTTTTTTAAAAACACATTAATCACTTTTGTTGGTGTAGGGAGGTCAGCACAGATAAAAGAGATGGGTAAAATATTTCACTCAGAAAAAACAAAAAACAAAACAAAACTGGACCACATGGTTTAACTATCAGTCTGAGGTAAAGATGTAAAAACGTCATGCCATTTTAGCCTTTTCAGTGCTGTGTACAACTTTCCACTAACAACCTCCTGTTGGTGAGCAGCAGTGGTAGCAAAAAATCCCCCAAAAATAATAGATTTATGATCCTGCAATCATGTCTGTTTTGTAACTTTCCAGTTATGCAGAGAAAAGAATGACTGAAAATCAACCAATCAACAGATTTTTGCTTGCATGTGGTCCTGGAGCTAACTAACAGTCTGTGGTCTGTGCACATGGATAGGAAAGGGAACTGCTACAGCAAATTTCAATAAAATCAAAGAAGTTTTAAGAAGCACGGAGGAGAGGACTGATAATGACTGCAGTACAAAGCTTTTCATCACTCGTTTTAACGTCATTGCTGAGACAGTTTTATAAAAAAATAATAATAATAAATTTCTGCAGCATGGGCTAAGGTGAAGTACAAACCAGAGTGCAAACATCAAAAAACACCATATATTTTTGAGGCTACAACCTGCATCATCATAGCTCTTTGCAGCACTTACTCACTATTAATGCACTACCACGCAGAGCTCTTTACTCCCACTTTCAAACCAGACCCCAACATACTTCTATAACTGGACACTTCACCTGACAGTGGTGGCTAACATTATTTTAAAAAGACAAACAGAACAAACAAACAAAAACAAAACACAAAATTGGTGACAAGTGTGCTTAACTACTTTCAAAGAATACACAAACAGCTCTCATTCCAGCTATACAAACATCAGTTTCTTGTCATTATGGCTCAAGGACCAGGTTTGCCACACTTAGCACATTTTGTGATCATGTCTCCACCTATTTGTGTGGGTGGGTGTATGTGTGGACACAATCTACCTCTGCAGCCTGTGTCTCTTGGTGCAGCAGAGTCAGCCCCGTCAGGTCCTCCAGGAATGAATGGGAAGAATTAAAAACCTTGGACAGGAAGCTGAAACCTTCCCTCTCATAGTGGTCTAAGACCTAGATTAAAAAACAAAAGAAAACATAACAACAGTTAAAGGTTATTTAATCCAAAATGGAACTCTGGGTTATTACACCATTGTTTAGGTTCAGTTTACATGCGGAGAATTATGTGTGCTATGATACTACACTTCTGCTTTCACTGAAAGTATACAGAAACAGCTGATCAGCATAAACTGATCGTGAACTGGCTAAGTAACTGGGAAAAATACAAAATGACTTAAACACTTACAAGATAAAATCTCTAAATCTTCTCTTTCTGAAAATGTAGATGTCACCGTGTGTGCTGACTAAACAGATGAAGCCCTCTTTTAGTTTGCTCAGGTGCAAGACTTAAAACAGCAAAGGTCAGACTCACACAGGTGAAAAAAAGGTTCTACAACCTAAATGCACTGTTTGACCTTTACTGTGTTTTTTAGTAATATGTTACATGTTGCCAAAGGCGGTTATGAAATGTTTTCCTTCCCCACACATTACGCTTTTGGTGTCCTTATTAAATGTGCCTTGCACTGGACAAGTAAGCCATGCTAAAGAATCACAACATGAGAAAATGTATCCGCAAAAACATTATTACATAAAAGCAGATCATAATTTTTGCACGGAAGAAACACTTTTAAAAAAAAGGGACTTTTAAAACTCTGGCCCTCAGGCTTAACTTCTATAACACCACAATTCGGCACCTCTACAATCACTCTGCGGTGTTTACCTTAATCCCCTACAGTACAGACTTCAAATACCCACACCTTCTTTCCAAAAACCACACATCCACAGATCCTCTGCCCTCTGGACTACCCTGCTCGTCTTAGCAAAGCCTTTCATAGATGCCTACAGACCCTCCCCTGCAGGTGTAGAGTTACCTCAGCTTCAGACAGCAACACAATGTGTGCATCACTGTCTGTGTGTGTGAGTTCGCAGACTGGCGTCTAGTCTTGGAGCCAGACACACCGCACACAATACACACTGATGTGTCCCCTCATTCATCTTTTCAGCCTCTCTTTTCTTTCCTTCTTTCTCTTTTATTTCTTTGACTCTCCACTTCGATCCATGGGGTGTGTTATGTGAGACGCCAACGGCCATAACCCACTTTGTTGAAATGTAGCTTTTCGTGACACAGGAAGCAACCTAATGACCATGACGATCTTGTGATAAAGTTAATAAAGTCACTGCACAAACACAGTGCTAAGGACATCAAACACACACCTTTTGGAAAAACATGTCCACAAAGGCTCTCTGCGTTTACAGCATTTCCCATAAAAATGTAATTACATTGTTGTAAATACTATAATTGGACAAACAAAGAAATGAAAAGACTCCAAAAAAAAGAGAGAAAATTTTGAAGTGTTTCGCAGTGTTGATGGCTTTAATAGTGATCATGTGCTGCTGCTGGATAGCATCTATTAAGCAAAACTACAAATTCACCAACAAACAAACATCTGGATGAGATGGGTTGCTGCATATATGGACATAAACGCTGACATATGGATTCACACGTGCACTTGTAGCAAAGCTTCCTTCCACTCGGGGCCACATAAATGCATCTCCCAGCTTTATTGACAGTTGGCAGGCCTCCTTTTTGAAGCTGGATCCATACAGAAGGCATTAACTGGAAGCATCACACACTACACGTGTGCCTCTAGCAGTTTCTAAAGATATCAAACAGTGGGTGGTCTTGGTGACACAGAGGACTCCTTTACAACCAAGGACTCAAATTTGCTTGTAAACACTGAAGAATATGAGGGACCGGATGCTTTTCAAAGTACAGCTGCTTTAATGGTGGTTTAAGCTGGTTTCATTTTTAACTTAAGCACATAATTTACCAGGACTTTGTGTTTCCATAATGTGACACCTAATATATTCTGAATACTGTGAGTAAACAGTTCCTGCTGACTCACTTCCTCTGTTAACAAGAACGGCCATCACGCCTATGCAGACACATGCTTTAAAAACTCCATACTGACTCATTATTATAGGTTTGTGGGTGTAGTATTGGTGAAAAAGGACATTCCAGAGAAGGTACAGCTAGCAAAGAATGTGTAGCTAGAAGTTTTTTGAGTTTTTTTTCCTGGACACATCAGCATAATCATCCTTCTTACCATCTTACCTACTCACCAGAAGTGATGCCCTGCATCTTCATCCTCCTACCCATTATGAAGTTCAAGTTGAAGGGTTACTATTTTGGACTACTTCCACGCAAAATGCAGACACACGAGTGCGAGCGGTTTAAACAAGATTTCCACTGAGCGTTCCCAAAATAGAAGCCCTTCTGGCAGCTGTGCAGCTCCGTCTAAGGAGACTACCTTGAAGAGGAGATCAGGCAATCTAAAGGAGTATTTTTTTCTTTTTCCGCAGGATGCACTTGTGGTAACTTATGATTGCATCCTATGTTTTATATCTGATTATTTTCTATTAATTTCTTTGGTTGGTGCTTTAAAAACTTAATATCACACATCAGCAAAAGCAATGAAATGGAAATTCACCCCGACATAGCACAAAAAATACCTGCAGACACTCTCTGGCTGTCCACTCCTTATATTCTTTGCTTTTCATCTTTACAATCTGTGGTTTAAGGACGATTTACTCTGAATATAAAACAACACAAGCAAGTACAAGTTTAAAAAAGAGACCACCTTCACAGGGGAACACTGTGAGTTATGTTAGTGACCAGTTACAAATGTCGTCAGAACTTTACAACCCAAACAGAAAAAGTATATGTTTGCTATTAATAGTGGAAGCATATTTGGTGGTGTGTACAAGTAGCTGTAGTAAGAGGTATCTGGCACAGTTTTAGACAAAGCCACGTCAGCTGTGATTTACTCTTTGGCGTATAGTTTTATTGGCTTGTAGCCCCAGAGAGTTAGGAAATACACACACACACACACACACACACACACACACACACACAGAGCGAAAAGCCCCAACTCTACAGGAACTGCTCCAGCCCAGACAGGGGCTGAATTGTTTTGTTTCCATAGTGACCTGGCAGCACACAGCTGACTGCGGCAGAAATACACACAGAAAGACCTGCACTCGCTGTCTCTCTCTCACACACACAAAAACCCACACATCCACACACTATTTAATACACCAATAGATGGACAAGAGGAATACACAAAGGGAGGAGAGATGTGGGGGAGGAAGAGAAGTAAGGCAGAGAAGGTAAGATGTACGAGAGGAAAGAAGGAGATGTAAAACAGGAGTAGACTGAAAAAAGAATAAAAGAAGAGACTGAAAGGATGATAAGCGAATGCAAAACAGATGGAAAAGATGTGTGAGTGGGATTAAACATATTCACCAGCTTCACTACATAACCTTTATCCCTGCCTCAGCAAAGGATCGTCTTTCCAAACTCATGTTGTTCATTGTTCCCAACTACACAGGCTTTACCCAATCCCTGTCAAACCATACGAAACCTCTGTGCAGACCGAATAATCTCATCAGTCACACAGGCAGAAACATGACACCTTAAGATGGGCTGGAACTGCAGACTTTTTTTCTTTTTTTTTTGTCAGAGCGTAGGTGGAAAAAAAACTTTTAGTGCACAAGCTAGCCAACTCCCTCCCCCTGCTGCCTCTTGGTTTCTCTCCCCGTCTTCACATGAAAGTGATAGATCTGGGGCTTTATGACCTCTTTATAGACACAAAGAGTGCATTGAGATCAGGGAAGAATGAAAGACTGAACCAGCCCTCCACTCATCACAACACCCTTGCTTTTAACGCTCTACTTCCTCTGCTTATAAACCCTCAATATTCTTCCCATTTAAAAAAAACAAACAAAAAAACACCAAACAAACAAACAAACAAACAAAAGCCACGAAATGACAAAAAACTTTCTCCTTCTTTAATTTGTACTTTTCTATCGCGACTCCCCTGGTTCCCAGTCTTACACCAGTGTAAAAACAATGAGTCACATTGCTACACACTTAGCCACACTGGCCAGTTGGATATCAACCTATTAGGAGAAAAAACAAAACAAAACACAAAGGGCAATTTCTCTTACCCCACTTGGCCTTAGTTAGGATATGTGAACCCTTCAACAACCCATCTATGCACATGCACACACATACACACAGACAAAAAAAGAGAGAGCAGCAGTGGGAGCTAATTGCACTCAACGACAGTTACTGACATCAATGAACAACTGCTGCCTGATTGTTACCATATGCTTTTACCAGCTTTTCTGTGTCTCTCTCTGTGTGGATTCAGTATTCCTCAAGGAACTGCATTTCAACACTGACTTCACAATGTGGAAATAGGAGAGATGGGAATCCCCCTCTTTCTGTTAAGGTTGCAATTTGTGTTTGGAAACAATGTTGTCACATAGTAACAGAATCTAATCTGATACTTCGATACTTTAAGCAGGGGATATATATAGACCTCACAGCCCATTGTTCATTTAGTGGTGCTAGTCTCACAACAGAATCCATTTTTTGGCATTTCCTTACCTGGATGATTGAGGGATGCATCAAGGCACATCTACATTGTATCTACTTTTTTTCTGGCAACGTGCAGTTCAACATTAAAACACAGTCTTGCTGCAAAACTGGATTCAGAAACACATAATTAGAACTATTCAGATACATTTGGTGCCACTTACAATGGGGGAGCAGGCAGTGCATTTGTCAAAGGCCAGGCTGGCAGGCAGGACATTATCGAACCTTGAAAGAAAGCCTCGAATCTGTGGAGGAGAATAAGACCCTTAAGAAAATATTCAGAAAAGCAGACATTCTAATTATGTGATCAAGGTTTGACAACAGAGGGGACAAGCTGACATTAACAAAAGATAAACAACAAGAAAAACAAGCAGCTTTTGGAAGTCGGTGTGTTCACCAGGAGACTTGCTAGGAAATGGCAAAGGTGATGTTTTTATTCCTTGAAAGCAGAAAGTAATGCTTCCACTGACAATCATGAAAATGCAAAACAAGAATATGTAATGAAAATTTGCCAGCAATTTCTGTATGCTGTTTAAACTGAAAGCAGAGAGCGCCCTCTGGTGTTATAAAGGCATGTTTCAATTTAGTTCATTTCATCATATTTAAGTGCTAAATGCCTTCACTCTTAATTAATCATATACATGCATGTTGCAGTATCACTTATCACATCACATTCTTGTAATCGCCTTCCTCATCCACCCCCAGCTTCCTGTTTTGTAATAAAAGCTTCAGCCAATAATGGATTTTTTTTTGTTGTTTTTTTGATGACGCACAAAACATGAGGAGCATGTAACAATTTCCTGGCTATAATTATCTGGTGGTGAGACTGACGAGCATATCAAACATTTGTGGCCAATTACTGCTGATGCCCAGTGACGGAGAAAAGGTGGAAATTCAAGGCTTTTGGTGTTTGAAGATCAAGAGCATCAGTGTTCGTCCTTATGTGCACCAAATTCATTTCTTAGGCTGTGTGTTAACCTGCAGTGACAGGTGACGCACCATGTCCACAGAGTAAGGTAAACTGTGGGGGGGGGGGGGGGGGGCAGTGAGTCAGACCAGTGGATGAGCGTGGGCGAGTGAGGCAGTCGTGAACAGACTCTATAGCTTTCTGTAGAGAGCATAAACTGACCACATATGTGTGTCAAGTAATGTGCTCAGTCGACGTCAGGCACAGTTCAACACACGTTTGGATAACACATGAAGATTAACTGCTGTTTAAGCACGGCTCGTCAGACATGCCATTCAAGACTGTAAGACCACTAATTACTTCATGGAGTATCAAAGCATCCTGCTGCTGCTTTTGAGTTACATCAAAGCAATCAAGGTGCATCATTTCCACTGACAATCAGTGCTTTTAACTTGAAGGGATGATAATATATGTGCCACTTTGGATCCCAGTTCAAGTTGCTCAACATTCCTCCCACATTAAGGCCATGCTTAATTTGATCATTTTATCCATTATCTACGTTGCAATTTTGCTATTTTGGATTATTTTCTACCTTAGGCCCGGCTGTCCACCCCTTATATTCTTGTTTTTTGGGGACTTTAATTGAGGGACTGAAGATAAAAGGTCTTGCATGCCCTTTGAAGTAAATTTAAGAGTTTGTGAAACTGGACAACATAGCTAAATCCAGTTTAATTCTATATATATCAGAGTAAAGTGCTATTGTAGTAGTTGTTACTTATAGTAACCCTTAATGTTGATTATTTGATTTAGCTTGGGCTTAACACACAGAAGTATCAAAAACATGTTGAGAACATCTCTCAAACACAGCTCTATTCAAGGGCACAAAATTGACAGTGCGGGTGAAAACGAGGGGAAGGCAATGGTATAGCTGCACTTCAGTTACAATGGAGATACAAGTGTGCAATTTTTGCAAATCACCAGAAGCTGTCACTGTGGCACCACAAAAAAAACCCCAAACAAACTGCAGAGTGCTGTACAGGCACAGAGTGCCGGGGGACTGAGCACCTCAGTCATTTATACATAAATGTGTGCGTCTCAAGCATATTATTTATTTTGCATTTTTCACTCCAATCATTTTTGCACCTTCTCTCTGTACATGAGCACACACATAAAATACCACATTTGAATGCCAATTTTTTTCGGGTTGTTTGGCTGCCAGCAGATGTGTCAAGCAAAAGGCAGTTTTCATGATGATGAATATTGATGGTGATATGTAAATAGAGGAGACGAAAAACCACCATTTAGCCAAGAGCACAGTTTGTCCTAGGTAATTTGCAAAATCAATAAAAATATTTACACTTTCCTATTACATGAAAAAAAAATGAATATATTAGTAAACAAAATCCAATTTGAATGTGTCATTAGGTCATTAGTCCAATCACGCTCAACACAATCCAAAAACCATTAAACAAAAAAAATCCACACAAAAAAAACTTGCAAATTGAGTTTTACTAATGACAAACCAAAGAAAAATAGCTACACAAAGGTGCACCATTGAGATAAGCACACGGCCCCTTTCTTTTTCCTTTCTTCTCCATAATAGCTGCTGCAACCAGCTCATTGATTATCACTATGAGCTATGACTTTGCCACAGCTTCCAGCTGAGCCTTGCCTGACCTCAAGTGCCGTGTTTCTTGAGCTATGAAAAAGAATTAATTTTGTTCTATTTGGCAGCACCAAATTCAAGTCTAGTTACTGCCTGTTATGACGATCCATAGCACATTACTCTTGACTCATTTCTACAAAAGGACTGAAAGGCACTAATTCATAAAGCACAAAGACGTGCAAATCTGCAGCTAAAGTTTGCATATCAGAAAATCTCTTCCTGTCCCAGAAAATGGGCTTCTGGCGCTCGGAAAGACTAAGATCTCTTAATTATGATGGTTTCCAGGCATGATGAAGTCTCCTCATTAGGAACCTTGAGTCATGTTTGATCTTTCAGTTTGAACATATTTAATGACTATTAAAGTCACCAAAACGGGAAACCTTTGTGTATTGTTACAGAATAAAAAACATCAGATGTAAGAATGTTGCCTCTACATATGTATGTTTGTACTGATGTGGACAAAAACCCAGCAGAATATTAAAACCTGAAAAAAAAAATCACCACTAATAGCAGCCATAGAACTGACTTGCCAAGCTTGTAAGGAAAGGTTGTGTGCAGGGCACTTAGTGAAATACTATAACAGTGGGGCTGCTGAATTACGCAACATTTCCATCATTTCTGCTTGTCCTTCTTTTCACAGAGTATGCATAACAACACAGCAAACTGTGCCCCTTTTCACTTGCTGAATCAAAACATAATCATTCCTTCATGGGGTGAATGCTGAGATACTCCTTTGCAATTATCTCTCTTCTGCACTTGGTTACCGTTGTTCTCTTCGCAGTCCCAAACTGGACTCTCAGTGAAATGCAGCTTTTTCAGAATGTTAAAGCAATACTTCAGCCTCCGCCTTCAGGATCTGCCACTTGTTCCCCTGAGTCACTGAGAGCATTGTATGTAGGTGTCTGGAAAACTTTAATAGCCTGTAAATATGCTGACCCTGAATTCAACTTCAGCAATTGCAGTTTACTGTCTGTTAATTCTTTTTATTATTATTTCTTTAACTCTTGCATGCATACTTTGGATTTTTAGCAACATTTTGCATGTTATTAATTTCAGATTTTTATATGAGTGCATCTATGTCTGACCTGATGTGGCACGAGACCGAGCGAGGTGGGAGGTTCATTCATTCTGTCATCGCTGCTGCTGGCCACTGCATAGCCTCTGAAGGAGAAGAAAAGGAACAGAAGTTTATATACCTACACACACGCTTGTGCAATTTTGGCAGTTTTTAAGAAATAAGTAATAAAAGAATAAATAAATTAATAAGATGAGGAATTAAAACCAGCAAACCTGCTTAAACAGCCTTCCACAGAAAATTATAATACACTGCATTCTGATGATTTTTTTATAATACACAGCAAATCTAAATGTGCTGCTAAGAAACACTGATTTTGGTTTTCTATACTGAGAACTAATAGATCCTACTTCCTTAAATATTAAAAGGTTTTACATTTTTCATGTGATCTGAGAGCTCCTGCTCCCCAGTTAATTTAAATTCGGGTTAAAAGGTTCTACTCTGTGTGGATAACAATAAGTGAAATATCACATCTCGCGCTGAGCTGACAGTGGTTTTGCAAAGTCAGAAATCTCTGTCAAACTGCAGCAACATTAATCCTGAAGTGCCAATTTTCAAAAGCCAGTGGTTGCTATGGAATAAGATTTCAAATGAGAGCTGGTGTAAGGGGCTTTTTTGGGATAAAGAGCTGGAAGAATTGGGGTTATACAGAAAGGCACAAACACAGCTACTAAGATAAAAACAAGGACACAGAGAGTAGCTGAAGCAAGACACAGAGAGATCTTGGTGTAAAGCAAGGAGCTACATAAACACAGAAGTTCTGGAAAAAGCACATGGAAATTCACCGTCTCCTTTACTTTCTAAGCTTTTTATCCAGGACCGAAAGAACGGCTTTGTAACAGCTTATAACATCTCAAAAACATTCTGAGAGAAAATGGCCGTCTTATCAGGCCCAGCAAGCAGCCACTTTAGTATGATTTTCACCAAAAAGGGCACACACAATTCCATTTTCACAAAGACACACCCGTGCACATGACTACACACTTAATAGGCATGGACACATCCCCATTGGCGTTAAGAAAAAAATACACATTCGAAGAGCACAGACTGCAAAGAGAACTTAAGGGCTGATTGAACCTCGGTGTTAGAGCTTTTGAAGCATGAAAATGAGAAAAAGCTCGGCGGGGGGGTGAGGTTTGTGCTACAACCAAATTACCAATGCTACCTGCAGCGCAGTGAGACCTCAGCTGCTGTGCTGCACCATCAAAAAGGTAACATCTCCCTTAGCTTTAAGCCTGGAGTGAAGCACTGATGAGAGTACTTCAGACAGATACTGGTAATCAGGGCCGTTCACTAAGGGAGGAGAGTGCTAGCCCTCTAGTGTTTGCAAGGATGTTTTATTAAACCCAGATTGGAATGTGGACTGTGTGTGTAAAAGAAGAGGGCAGTATGACATAAAAACTTTTTTTCTACTATGATTCTGAGTATGATTTTTTTCTAAAACCATGCTGAGAAGCATATATTGTATACCAGAAACACAAAAACCAGAGGTGTGACGCAAGAGTCAAGCAGACTGTGCTGAGAATAAACTCAAGTGTTCATCGGGGAATATCCACTGACACCGGTAAGAGACAAGAATACCTGCTGTCAACCTCTCACACTATTCAGTCTTTACAAATGATTTGCCGTACGTCCTGGATAAATCTTATCTTGTAATGTATGCTGATGATTCCACCATGTTTTATTCAGCCAGCAGCTACTCTGAATTGACCAGCGTATTACAACTAGATTTGCTGAACATGTTTGACTGGATAAGTAAAAACAACATGATTTTAAACGTGTCTAAATCCAAATCCATGTTAATAGGAAGTAGAGTACGCTTAGTCAACAGCCCACAACTAAATCTTTCCATAGCTGGATCGGTATTAGAATAGGTCACCCAGATTAAATTACTTGGTGTTACCATAAACCACCACCTTTCATGGTCTCAGCACATCAACTCTGTTATTAAGAAAATGGGACAGGGCATAGCTATAGCTAGGAAATGCTCTTTTTATATTACTTCTTCAATTATGAAAGATGTCATTAATGCACTAGTATTATCTCATCTAGA